ATCCAACCCCTCCTCCTCCTTCCTGACTTTCCCCTCCCCCCTCCCCCCCCCCCGGAATCCCTGCCCCCATTCAACCACCCTGTTCCCCCCCACCTGCCCCGACCCCTATCCACACCCCCGGCCTCTGACTACCCCCCGAACTCCCCTGCCCTCTATCCAACCCCCCTCCCTGTCCCCTTACCACACTGCTGGAGCACTGTCCTGTCCTGGCAGCACGGCTGCACCAGGACAGGCAGCCATGCCGCCCGGCTGGAGCCAGCCACACACCGCGCAGCACAGAGCACCGGGTCAGGCTGGACTCTGCAGCTGCACTGCCCCAGGAGCTCGCAGCGCCGCTGCCCAGAGTATTGCGCCGGTGGTGCAATGAGCTGAGGCTGCGGGGGATTGGGAACAGCAGGGGAGGGGTCAGGGGCTAGCCTCCTGTGCCAGGAGCTCAGGGGACGAGGAGATTGGTCCCGTGGGCCGGATGTGGCCCACGGGCCATAGTTTGTCCACCTCTGGGCTAAGGACACTGGCTAAGCAAGTTAGAAAAGCAGAAATGAATTGCCTAACACAAAGGCTCTTATTAATCATGTTAAATGTATGAGATCATATACACTGGGGGAAGAACAGAAGCAGTGAAGTTGTTTTAAGAGATGACTAGACTTCATGTCAAACTGAGGATATTTTAGGAACAAAGGGTCTTGTTAGCCAAAATGCATATCTTGCTGGGCTCATCTTGATCTTAAACACCACTCGCTCATGAAGTAACATTTATGGACAATAAGCTCATTTGAGTCTTTTGTTGTGACAAATGTCAATTTTCATTTTTCTGCCATCTTTTATTAATTAGTGAAAAGTCTGTCCTAATTATCACCTTCTGATCATATACTGAAGTCAGGCTTCTTCTTTTCTTTCAACTGCAGCAGAGCCTCTCCACTAAGTGGTCACTTTGTTCAACTCCTCTTCTTTCCGTAGCTTCCATTTATGGGCCGAAGGCTCAAAGAAGAAGGAAATGGGTGCGATGAGATAACAGGTTCCAGCAAAGAAAAAGGAGCAGGCATATGTCTGAGTGTAGTCATACAGCCAACCTGCAATGGATGAGGGTTCGGTTATTAAAGCTGCTGGACTTTCCCACATAGTAACCTTCCAGGGTTTAATAATACGGAAAACTGATATGAGTTATGACTCATAACTTCACTGAGAAAATACTGAACCATAATATATACAGACGTTCCAATGTTCAGAATTAGATTACATATATTAGTATTATACCTACTCTGAATCTGCTGCCTTACGGAACCATAATTTGAATATGTAACTAAAACTAAGCGGAATGCGGTGTGTATTAATGGAAGAGTTTTTAAAATAGAGACTACTTTAAACTGGGACTAACTAGTTTTTTTTCCCCATGGGTGGTTTAAAAACAAAAAACAAAAAAAAACACCATGATTTTACTTGGTAAAAGCTACCTCTGGTAAATACCATGACATCCCTGTGTTGCCACTGTTCAAGCTATCTAAATGAAAGCTAGCTTGGGTACGTCTGCATGTGCTGCAGTCACACCTCTGATTGCAGAGTAGACAGACACTTGGCTATACAAGGCATGTTGACAACAGTACCGAGACAAGATGAAGACTCAATGAGCCAGATTCTCCGCTAGTGTAAATGTACACAGATCCATGGAAAACAGTGGTGTTACCCCAGTTCAAGATATGGCCCTGTATATCAGAGGTTCTAAAACTAGTCTCCAATCAGGAAGAAATATGTAACAGCCCCTCCTTTTCCTTAGCCACATGGCTATTTTAATCGGGTTCTGTCTGTGTGGGGAGAGCCTTGACAGTAATAGAAAAGTAATTTCTCAGATTTAGATGTGAATAAAAATAGGAAAATGTGAAGAGGAAAAAAAATCATTATTTGTAAGTTTAATTAAGGTTTTTAATGGCCATGTTAAGAGGAGGAAGGCTAATAGGAGTTCATGAGCCAGTAGTTGCATCTCACTAACTGCTGCTCTGAACTCAAGTTAACTAGTTGGGATATTTCAATTCCCTGCATCATATCACTTCACTACGGTGACGTCTTGTCTCATTTTCTCAGGGATATTGTTTGGGCCTTCCTGAACTTGTAGGTTTTAAATGACAAGTTATCGGTAATCTAGAGGGATGAGGTACATGCTTTATTTCATAGGATGTGGTGACTTCGTATTGTACAAAAGTTTGCTATGTTTTAGATGGGTGGGTTACATAAGCTCTGTAATCACAGGATTAAGATGTCCAGAATGAAGTGACATGAGCTTCAGTTTTTAAACCCATTATGTGTAGAGCTTACAGAAAAACTGAAAAATACCTACTTAACATAAAGGAAAGAGAACACAAATTCATGTTTTCCCTTCAACTCAGCTGTTTTCAAATTCATCAGTACGTGGTGTCTTCCTACCACCTATTATCAGCTGGCATTACAGTACATTCTGAAGCACATGCATCTGAGAGACTTTAATCATAGAGAGATGTCTTAATGGTTTCCTTTTTTGCTTACTGGCCAGAAAAAGCAGATTGCAGCTAACCACTCAGTGTTACAGAAGGATTAGTCAGTGAATTGGAGAGAAACTAAAGGGGATGCAAAGTTTCCTGTGGAAATCCAGAAAAGCAGCATTTCTCTAAATGTAAGTAGTGCTGATAAATCCTTGTTCCATAACTAAACACTCTAACCCCTCACAGCATATGCCTAAGCTATATGTTTAAGTATAGCTATCCTTCCTTTTATCACCACTAATGGAGCTGGAGGTGCCTGGTGTGCTTTTTTTCCTGCAGATTACCTTTTTGCTTTGCATTGTAACTGTTTTGTTAAAAGCATGGTAGTTGGTTTGTATTGTTCAGTGGTTCTCAAACTTTTGTACTGGTGACCCCTTTCACATAGCAAGCCTCTGAGTGTGACCCCCCTTATAAATTAAAGACACTTTTTAATATATTTAACACCATTATAAATGCTGGAGGCAAAGCGGGGTTTGGGGTGGAGGCTGACAGCTCGTGACCCTCCCCATGTAATAACCTCGCAACACCCTGAGGGGTCCTGACCCCCAATTTGAGAACACCTGGTATTGTTCCTATGAAGTTTAACATGGTTCACTTCCTATGCTTCTTTGTGCCTCTAAGAATCAGCCTGATTTGTTCTCCTGTTATCTTTAATTTCGTTTCTAGAATGTAAGAAGTATTCACAGCTTAAACAGGTGTCCTTGTATGATGAGCAGGTAAGTGGTTCCTACTTGCTGGTGAAGCTTCAAACTTTTTAGCTCTGGGTGTTCAACCACTGTTTTGACTTTGGACCTAGAAGTAAGAATTGGGAAACGAATCTTTCAGGTAAGTAGCTTTTTTTCTAGTATGCATGTTTTGATAATTTTTTTGTTTTGTTGTGCCGAATATGCATCCTTCACCTCTTACTGGTGTTATGTATAGTGTATATTATACTAAGAGTACTAGATGGTTTGAGTTTATGGAAATATTTTTTAAATGAGCCTTGACTTCAGTACTGTAGATAAGTTAAGAATAGTTCATTTAATCACAGTCAAAGGAAGAGAAACCCTAGAACCATCTTTAATAGCAGTAACAAGCCTCTTTCATTTTCACCAGAATTAACTTTCAATGTGAAGTACAAGGAACAAATGCTTCTGCAATCTTGGATAGTTAATATTTTCTAGTATATGCAGCTTTCACACTTAAGTGGCTTGATTTGAGGGAAAAATTGCAGAGTTCATCTTGGATCATAGGATTGCAGCCTGAACATACAATCATGTGCTTGATCCCATCTTCCCTTCCCCTTCATGGGACAAACTGGCACACACAATTGAAGGGCCGAAAAAATTTGGTTGCCTCTCCCTCCTGTTGCTTGTCCTTTCCCATCTCAGCTGTATTGGCGGACTTGGACTGCCAGGAGTTGCCAGACTAATACGTATAGCCTGCACGCTCCTCACGCACCCCTCCTTACCCCCCAAATAAACTATTAATGATTAGTGTTTTATTAAAAATAATTCAGTTGTTAGAAATAAAGGAGACATCACCAGTTAATGAAGATGTTACAAGCAGATGAAAGTGCAATAGCCACATTAGCATGTATGATGCATAGACAAAAGAAATGGTAGAAAGTGAAGTAATTCACTAAATAAGGTACTTGGGGCAGACATGGAACGAAGTATGTCACCAGGTGAGATGCAGCAGATCATTGGGTGGGGATGCATACAAGAAACTGTAAATGCAAAATTTAGTTTGGCATTTTTTATTCTACACTCCTGGTCTATTTACAAGATAGATGAGTGACCGAATGCCATTCACCCACTGGTATTTGACCTGGCAGCTTTATTCATACACTGTAAAATGCTACCCTGGGAATAGCTGAAGATGCTGACCACACGTCCGGGTATGAAGGTAAGGTGAAAGGTTCAGTGAAGGACAGGCTTTGCCTTGGGCAGAGGTGCATGAAACAGCATGCAAACTTCTTCTCAATCTAAGTGGATAAAGAAATATCTGACTCTGAATATTTATATTAATATAGCCCCCAAAATGTGCCACACACTATATAGAGAATAAGATGGTATTTTTGGGGAGGGGAGGGAGAAGGCTCCCACTTATATTTGAGCCTATGTAAGCTGTTTAGCAGTGGAGATTTTGAATCCTTAGTCACGTCAGGAGATGACAACTGCTCTATGCAAAGCACTGCAAATATAGCACCTCTCCCTCATGCTGCTGGGACCATGTTACCCTGTTTCCCCGAAAATAAGACAGTGTCTTATATTAATTTTTGCTCCCAAAGATGCGCT